GCCTAAAGTTCGTGGGGTTTAACGCAATAAATCCATGTTTTCCCCTCTCCTGAACCAGCCCAGCATGAGTGCGAGACCTGCGCGTTTTCCACACGTAAAAACATGGAAAACCAGACGGTTCGGCACCAATCCGGGTATCCCCGCTATGTGGCGAGCCGGAGGGTGTGGGAAGAGGGAGCCCTGCTCTGCCATGGTGCTGGTTACCAGCGATCCAGAGCCGCCCAGAAACCCGAAATCGAGCTAAATGCAGAAAAATAACTTGCGGAAACTTGTTTTCTTTGGGAGCTACTCTGCTGCTCTGTTCGGGATGCCGCCTCTCCCAGTAAACATGCTTCTCAAAGATAAATAACGTGAAGAAAAGGCCAGACATGCTCCGAAAAGGCAAATGCGATGTATTTTCATCCTCCTGGGGGTAATTAGTTTTATACAGCATTTGCCATTCAAATCCAAATCACTGGAATGCCGCATCGTTACCAGCCCGTTCCAGCCCTACTACCACATCCAGTCCTTAGAAAGGACACAATAAAAACTATAAATATACATTCCTCATTCATTAATCATATGGAGTGTACCCTGATATTTTTTCCATCTCAGCTTGTTTCCCACTAAATTATATTTTTACAATGCACACGATGTCCTTGCTTATTTTATTATTGACTAATTGAATCGTCTCATTCAGGACATAAATTACATGGGACTGGGGCTGGAGGTAACCAGGAGAGAGCCAGACCCGCAGGACATGAAACATGGGTACATCCCCTGCAAAACACGTTGCAAAACATTTAACAACGAATTTTAAATTTTTTGTTCCAAAAATCCAGGCTTTTACGCTGGTTGTGAGACTCCTGTTAAGAAAAGTTTCCCTTGATAACCTCGGTGTGTGTGGCAAGGGTGTCCCTCTTGTTGCAGGCAGTTCTATATTCCCGTGAAATTCTTCTTGATCCAGCAGGATTTGCAGATTTGTTTATGGAGAGGGTTTTGTGCGAGGCAGAGGTTGGCAGACTGCTCAGTGCCCCAAACGCAGGTGTGGAATCTGCCATACAGGGATGCATACAGTGAATTAAACGCTGACGTGACTGCAAAGCACCAGCTAATACAGGTGTCTGAGGCGTCTCTCCTTGTGAAGCTTGCTTCATTATTTTATGTTTCTGTCAGGAAACAGGGGGTTTGGCCACTAAAAATATCCCGGGGCATTTTCACAATGGAATAATTACCTCCTCAGAAGGATGTTTGGGTTTCTCCAGCTTACCCTTGCCGAGCTATGCTGCTATCTGATATGCCACAAGGATTACCAGCAACCAGCTGCAATTTATCCTGAAAATGGAAGCGGTGATTAAAAGGCAGGACTGGTAGTGTAACTCCTATTAAAGCTGGTTAGCAATTCCCATCATAAAATCCTGCCCTCAGTCGCATTTAATAGGGCCAGACTAACCACTGTGCTGAAATTTAGGCATCTGAAGTTCATACCTTGGGTTAAATTATAAACATTTCTCCTTCTGTTCCTTCTGTCAGGGATTTTCTAGCCTGAAAATGAGAGTGGTCACTTTGTCAGAGGTGCTGCCTCAAACCCTGCTATGAAAACCCTCCTGAAATCCTGCTGGTTCTTGGCAGGAGCTTCCTGGTGCTCCCACTCCCCAGCAGCTCCATCCTCAGCACAGCCCAGGGCTGTGGGATCAGGGCTGGACCTGCAGCTCCAGTTCCTGGCTGCTCTGGACCATGCCATGTCTGCAGGTAGGAAGGGCAGACCTGTCCTTCCAGTCTTCTTGGGAAACACAGAGCAGGAAGCTCCTTGAAAAACACACAGTGGGGACAGGAACTGGGGCTGGGACAGGTAAGTTGGCAGGCACAGAGGCTCTGGAGAGAGACAGGTTCTCCAGGGTGGTGAAAGGGAATGAGCAGCCAGAAGGAAAAACAGGTCTGCCTGGAGGGAGGGATAAAGCAAAGCTCCTAAGAAGGAGTCTGGAAGGCAGGCTGGGAGAAGGCTTTAAACCAGAGTGGAAATGGGAGAAATTGCTGGGAGGAGGACATGCAGCCTGGCAGGACTGGGAGCTGTCCCTGTGCTCTGGACAGGGTTTGAGGGAGAGCTTGCTGGGCAGAGGGGATCAGATGGAAGAGCTGGAAAAGGACCCTGAGGCTGGGTGTGGGATGCAACAGGGCCTGTGGGAAGAGGGAATTCACTGGGATAGTGATGTAGTAATGGGAATGACAGAAACTGGGGCAGGGAGGCAGAGCAGAAAGGTGAGGATTTGGGAATGGGACTGCAGACCACCTGGAAACACTGACAATGTACCTCACCCCCCTGGAGTGCTGCAGCTTGTGCCAGCCATGGCATCCCTCATCACAGAGGGAAATTTCCACATTGCTGATGGCCTGCATCGATGTCAGCTCAGGATTACATTACTGGGGTTATCTCTACATGGGAAAGAAGCACATATTCAATAAAGCAACAGTACTCAGGCTGCACTGTAACACACTCCCCAGTTATCAAACACCAGGATAAAGGCAACCAGTGCGCCAGGATATGCCAGGCTCAGACACTGAACCAAGGTCAGGGAACCCAGGCAAGTGCCCCAACAACTTCCACCTCATTTACTGCAAAAATCAGATGTGGGTATTTTATGCACCTTGTGAGGAACTGCTGGGCAAGCAGGCACAGCACTGTGGGTGGGGCAGGTGAGTGCTGCTCCCAGAAAGGATTTTTAGCCTCTGGAATCTGTGGGTTGCAAAGCACAGACCTCCCTAAACAGACCTGCCCAGCGCTGCACTGATTGTGCAGTCAGCACTGCCCAGGTGCCTGGGCTTACATTTTGAAGCCTGACTTGCAGAAATGAAGAAGTCTAGCAGATAAATCTGCAATAACTGAGAATTTCTACAACTTCTGACTCAATTAGATGCCTGGCCATGTTCTATTTTCTGACAAAATCAGGCCATTGAGTATTTCTAATTGGATCTCTGAAATGAAAAGATATTTTTTACTATTCTGTCTGTACACCCAAGTTCCTCGCCTGTAAAATAAGGGCAACACCAGTTCTCGCTACAGTGTTGAGAAAATGAATTAGAGTTTGTGAAGCACTTGGATACCATAGTGATGAGTCCCATGGAAAAGCTCGGGAGGAAATGAATAAATCTGTCTTCAGAACAATATTTGAATAGTCTGCTGTAAATAAAGCACAGGCCACACAGTGAACAGCAAGGAGAAAATAAAATTATTACTTAGTGAGCACAGTCTATTCTGTACAATGAGTGAGGCCAGAAACCTGTTGAAAGAACAGCGTGTGATCTAATTATAATTAAATACTGTATCATAATGCAAATGCATGGAAGGCACAAATTACAGTTGCATAGGCCACCTTAATGTTGGTATTTCTAAACTTTTAGACTCTTGAATTTAAAAAAGAACTCCACTGTTAGGTGCAAAGGTGTAACACACATGCATAAATGATTTCCTCGCCCTTTAATAGTGGGAGACAATATATTTACCTCCTCTACCTCAGCCACTTAAGTGGAAAAAGTGTTTTTCTCCTCTTGGAGATATCTCAGCCTTACAGCCAAGATTTAACGCTGTCATTCACACGCTGACGTCGAGATTTAAATCCAAAATTTCCCTTCTTTGGGAGTCTGTGCACGATCACCAGAGACAGACTATTCTCCAGAGAGGGAGCCAGAGGAGGACCCTCATTTCAGTGATTAAAATTTCGTGTTTTGCTTGGAGTGCTTCCCATTCCAAAGCAGCCCCCTGGTTTTGGTGCAGAGGCAAGGTTATGGAACAACAACTCCCCTGATCTGTGCGACTCCTCAGTCCCGAGGCTGCTCGGAGCTTTCCCGACTCCTGCTGAGACTTGGAGCCGCTTCAGAGCGGCTGCAAATTGCTCTGGGTTATCTGTGGCCCACAAGAAGGGTGATGGAATTAGGATTGCACTGTTCAGTGCCACTCTGCTCGTGCCTATTTTTCTCATCGTGATTTCTCTATTGCTTAGCAGGATGTGAGGTGACACTCAATCGTTACACCAATTTATTGTTATCCAGAGAATTTGCTGTTACCAGGCATCCTCTGGCAGCTGGTAAAGGCAATTTGGGATAAGAAGGGGCTGCAGCACAAATAAAGACGTGGCTCGTTAAGTTTAAGACTTAGAGCTGTGAGATACCTTCAGTTTAACCTGCTGTGCTGCCTCCCTCGTGTGAGGCATTGGCTCCATTCATGGACAACATCTGGCACATGGCCTGTCCAATTATTCCCAATCTCCATCCTGATTCCAGCAGCAGTGCCTAGCAAGGTGTGCTGTCTTTCATCCTTCAATAGGAGCTAGATTTATTTTTTCATTTATTTTTTACATTTATTGCTCACAGATGTGGTTTTGCAAACTGCTCTGAGGTTAAAAGTCATCCTCTGGACTTTGCCAAGCAAATTCTAGGTTAGCAGGTCATATGCCAGAAACCCTCCATCCCCAGCATGTACTTCTGTCATGCCTGAGGTCATGAGGAGTTCCAGCTCCTCACTGGAATCAGGGAGGGCCATAATGGAGGCAGACCTTCCAATCACTGAGGTGAGTTCCCTGAGAAGGCTGAGAGGAAGGTGGAGCTCCTTGAGTGCCAGGTTGACAGAGTCTGAAACACAAACAGGGCAGTTGGTGTAAAATGCACTTAAAGGCTTCCCCTGCTGAGCAAGGGAGCTGCTGATCCAATGTTTGTTTATTTAGGGTTTTCAGAGGTAGATGGAGAGAACCTAGAATCCAAAAGGCAGGGCTTACTGGAATCCAATCCACAATTTGAAAGAAAAGGAAATGTGTTATCAGGAAGTGCATAATGATGTGGGATATGGGTCTCTGGGCATCCAGAAGGAGAGAAATGCAGATTACACCTAAGGGGAGAGGCTGATGTTACTGCAGTCTATGGGATTTTTGTCATCCATGTCAGTAGGGTGAGATTTCATCTCTGGAAGCCTGTCATGGCCTGACACTGTGCCACAGGTGCTCACAGGGACTGTTTTCCTGTTTTGGTGGTTGTCATCAGTCCTTGCTCTCAGATGAGATCATTACTGGGGACACACTGACCATCCCCTCACTTTTCCATGTCCCACTTCTCCCTGAGCTGCAACAACTCATCTTTGCCCTGACAGACTCTGCACATCCAGTAAGAGAGGAGACAGATGGTCCAGGCCCTCTCGTGTGAGCAAGATCAGTCTCCTCTGCTTCTTAAAAACCACATAAGCCAGGCAAGGATTCCAGGTGGTGTTTATCCCAAAGCTTTTCCAACAATCCCACAAGAATGTTAATTACTGACACCAACAATCTTGTTCTCATTCATATAATGGGAGTGCCTAAAGGTCTTCCCTGAGGTTGTGTTAGACACTGTAGGATCACACAGGAACAGGCAGAGGGGTTTTAGTGCAGGTTATCCTGACAGGAGGTCAGAACCATGGAGAGCTGTTGGAGGCAGAGCAGCAGGGCCACCTTTCACATCTCCTGAGTCCCAGTGCTCCTGCTCTGTAAACACCACCATCTTTTCTCCTGTGCCAGGGGAAGTGAGACTGAGAGAATTCAAAGTGAGAGGAAAACTGTGGAGAAAGGAGAAGAACAAAAGGGAAAGAATTGATGCTCAGCACACAGAAATGGTCATTTGCCTCTGGGCTTGGGAAATCAAAGAAATAACCTTAGACCATCAGCAGAGGATGCCTGGAAAACACAGCCCATCACTCCTGGGGATCCCAGCACACCTCACAAACCTCACCTCTGCCCATGGCAGGAACCAGCAGCAGCACAGCCCGGCCCTTTCTGTGTGACACCTGAAAGGGTCAGCTGAGGTGCTGGGTCATACAGCTGGAATCACATGTGTTTCCTGGAACTGGAAATAAAAGGCCTCATTATCTGTGAGAGATACAAACAGATCAGCCAGAGTTACATGAGCAAGTCCACACATAAAACCTGACACCAAACAGACTTGGCTTGTGTGTCAACACCCACAACTCCCACAGTGTCCTTCCTTTTGCTCTGTATCTCAGACTGTGATTTCAGGTGTTTAAACTGAATATACAGAAGCAATGATTCCAGGAGTCATTGCTTGGACATGGTGGCTGAAGTGTCCCTCTGCTTTAAATGGCAGAACTGGAGGCACAGAGTGCTATCAGAACCTTGTGATGGAAGAGTAAATAAGAGCAAAATTACCTCAGTCCATTAATTCAACAATTCAAAACTAATTCAACAATTCAAATCAGTCAGTGCTGTGATATAGTGAAGACAGGGACAATGAACCACAGAAACAGGAAGGAATAAAGACATTGGACAATAGGTTGGGACAGGGACAGAGTCCTGTTTGCTGTAATAATCTTGTTCATGCACTCTCAGACAGCCCTTTAAAGTCACAGTTTTGGCTTTGGTTCCTCCAGCTGGAATGCTCAGACAAACCTCACCACCCTTTCAAATGCTATGAAGGAATTTCCTATAAATAAAATGGATTTTTCATGGAGAAAATATTGGACTTCATTTTTACCACATTATCTGACAAAGGGAAAAACTGGAACAGTTGTAAAATTCAACTTTTCACAACACACCTGGTTTACAAAGGGCTTCCATCCCAAGCTCATAGTGTGCCACAGAAGGATGCCTGGAGCCCTGGCAGATTCTTTTGCCACAGGACCTGTACACTGTGATCATGGTGCTTCCCAAATCACCTTCCTGCCAGGAAAGGTTGTGCTGCAGCACCTGGGAATGCTGCAAAACTCTGGACAAGGCCTTGGTGATGCAGCTGCCAGAGGAGAGCATGGAGGTCCCTTCCCAGAGAGCAATAGCAGGGTGCAGCCCTGATTTGCTAAGGAGAGAAACAAGCTTCTGTTCCCAGCAGCTCCTGGTTTAAAAGAAGAGTTATTCACTCATTCTGCATACATTTTATTTTAAAATCATTCTAACTTCTTGCAATTCTTAAGC